TGCCGCACAACACTATCGACCGGAGATGGGCAAAATTTTTCGGATAAAACGAAAGAAATTCATTGGGAACATTATTAATTACGATTGTAGAAATATTTATAAGTACAATCAATGTCAAAAAATCAAGATTTACAATAAATTCGTACGTTATAATAAATAAACTGAATTCTCCAATTGTGTCGATTTTATAGGTAAAGCCATCATCTTGAAATAAAATTCATGTAAACGTTAATCACTTTGTTTTCTATACTTTCGAATGAAAAACCAATTAATTGTATTTTTCTTGTAATTTCTTAACTATGTTTTTAATATTTTCTCTTAATTTTTGAAACGAAAGATTGTTTGACTTTATAAAGAATTTCTTCCAGATGAATAAAAGTTTTGCCCATCTCCGTTATCAGTCTCCCTCATTCTTTATCATTGATATTGAATAATGAAGAGAAAGCATAATAAGGTCGATGACCAATGATCTTTCACCTTGGAGTCATTCACGCTCTCGCGCCGTTTCGTAGATTCGTCTCTTTTTTTTCAATTTTTTTGATCTTTATTTCTAACGGGGTGCGATTAATCGCTGTTGAATGAACTACATACAAGTATGCTTACTAGACCGTTTACGATTAATGTAAATATATTGTCGGATATATCAGAAATCGGTATTTGTTTAAAATAATACGTTTGTGGTTGACGATCCGATCTAACACGCCATAAATCGATGATTTATGTAATATTTAAATATTCCAGCGTTAAGCATTAAGATATTGCGTTCGATGATGAAAATTAACCATAAATCTGAACGAACGTGAATTATTCCGATTATTTTCAACACGTCACTGCGATTAATTAAATAGGCACTTTAAGAATCAGAAAATTGATTTTCTTTTATACCATCAATCAAAAACAACGATTAAACGATGAATTATGCGATACGTAAAATTGTGAAAAATACATATGTATGTTAGATAACGAATTGCAAAATAAAAAATAACAGACGGGAAAAGTTATAAATAAATATTGTTTATTATATTTCTAGTATTTACAGAAAACCATTGTAAAGTAACTTCGAAATGCCTGGTTGCTAAGCGGAATAATAATTTGGTTGTCAAGATGGCGGCGGCTAAGAATGTTTCGAAGGTAAGGAAGGAGAATAAAGGACAGTAAGATTTTCTATTCAAAGTGTTTCCTTTTTGTCCATCATCGAGATATATCGAAATAAATAATCCTCGTTTATATAAAAAGAATCATAACTGTTGGATCGACCATCGACTATTTGCATTATTAAATATTACAGTATACTTCCTTACAATTCCCTTAAAATCTATGCTCTCGACACGCCGAAATAAACAGAAGAAAGAAAATCATGGGTGTTCACGATATTTATTGAACTTTTCACAGATATAAAGATCTTATCACGTCGCGACACGAGATTCCGTTTTCCGAATTATCTCTCCTATCTACTGTCTCACGTTTTCGTCGTTCGATTCGATGGAAATTGAATTTCACCTCGCACAGCTCTTTTGCACGCAGGATCGTTAAAAAGAAACGTGTACGTGATCGATCGATAGATATCGGTACGTCGCGAAACAACGAAATAAAATACAGTACAAATCAACTTACACGAATATTTTACTGCTTAGTTAATTCCGTTAAGATACGGTACATAAGGAAACATTCAATAGAATTGTTGCGCCCTGAAACGTCGAGTGACATTCTTGACGAGCAATCGGATGACATTGCACGTCTCAGCGACACGTGCCGCCTCGAGGCCATTTTGAAAATCTCTTTACACTGCAAAGTATACGCAATTCTCACCCCTTCTCGAATTTCACGTAGTTAACCCTTTGCACTCCGAATACTTTTGAATAGAATCAATCCTCAACTGCAGGCCATTTTTTTAAAAAGAATTACATCATAAATATTAACCCTTTGTCATATGATTTCGCAACTCTGCCTAATAAATCTACATTATCATTAATAATTTAGCGAAAAAAGAGAATTCGTTGTTTATTCTGTATATAAATGTATTCTAAAGGTTAAGGATTGATAAGAGCTGAATAACATCTCATTTATATGAAAAATGAGTAATATTTAGTTTCGTCGAATTCGGTTGGAAATATTCATCACGAGTCTGACTCGATATTATAGGAGGTTAACCCTTTGGCTACGCGGAATGTCGCGTCAACGCGTATTTCTAAGAAAGCGTGTTGAAAACATGGAAACACTGAATTGAACTAGATTAATACGATACGCATCACGTATTTTTGACGGCTGTAATCTTATATTTTGCACGATGAAAATGAAATGAATCCTATAGATATTGTTATTAGAAATTATAATATACGACGTTATATTTAGGAACTCAACGACTCGTTGCAGTTTCATTTTTCTAATATTTCGTTTAAATTTATTGTATTGAAGAAAATATAACTGAGGAGACCGTTACTAAAATAAAATATAATACGTGACTAACGGGAGATGTAATTGTTGATTTAGAATTCACTTAATTTTGCTATATCAAATTAAATGGCGACTGCGAATCGCCTCTCGAGTGCAAAGGGTTCATTTCGTACGTCAATTTGCTTCATTTTAAAGGAAAGAAAAGGATTCTCGTTATTCGGGATTAACCGCATGTCTCTGCAGTGGAGACGGAGGGCAAAGGGTGAAATTACGCCGAAGCATCCAGTGGCGTGTTCTTTTTCGTCGCATGTTTAACCATTCGAAATAACGAATCACCACTGGACCTGAGATTAATCGAAGTATTCAGAGCACAACAAAATTTGACGGATACAACTATAATAAAACCATTAAAAAGTAATATAAAAAGTTTCGTAATTGCTTCGAAAGCTTATGCTTTAATATTTAACGTTTACCAGCATCACGCTGCATAAAAATTAATATTGTATTAAAATGAAATTTATATATATATATGTATATAGTGGTTCAGAAACAATTGATAAATAAATACAATTAACAATAGCAATCTGTCTCTATTCATATTAATTTCCGTGTACAAAATCGAAGAAATATTATTAACAGAATGTTTAAAGTATTCAACGATGTTCAATCAATTATTGCCTCTGAATTGATTTCAATTACTGATTATCTAATTACTTTGTATGCGTATTACACTAAGCAAAATTAACTGCGACAATTGAATTAAAAAAAGAAACACCAACTCCAATGAAAAAACAGCGATTTCGTAATCGATGCTTAGGCATTTTGATGATTTATTAATGCTATAAAATTCTAGAAAAAAGAAAAAACTTAGTCGGCCTTACGTTCTTAAATAAACGCAATTAATGTAACAGCTTCAATGTGAATGATACTTATTATCGTAGATCAACGTAATCAGAATATTTTATATCGCGAACCACAAACGTTTTACGCCGGTAGCACAAGACTATCTCGCGATAACAGTTCCGATGATCGTTTTGTCGTTCGACGTTTCGTCTAGCTACGTATATACAGGACTAGAGTCTTACTTAAAATTCCGCATGCCTGTTCGTTTACCTTCGAAAAATACGTTCTTATGGTCGAGTCTTACTTAAATCATGAGAAAACTTATCCGCTAAATAACTTCAAGGCTCGCGCGTTAAAGGAACAACCGCGGAAACACTGAAAACCTGTTGTCGCATGATGCAATCGGCAGCAGGCAAACATTTAAACGGAACATTTCGAATGTCGATTGGGAAATGGAAAATCGTAGCTGTGAGTCGTTCGCTAAAAGGAACTGTTTCTCGATTTAAATAGTAAAAACATTATATACACGCTATGTATGTTACATTTACCCGAAGGAAACTTTCCTCGCTTTTCCCTAATAAAACAAATATAGTGACTTCATGAAATTCAATCGCGAAACTGAGAGTTCTCGAGTAAATATCTCGTGTCTACAGCATTGATCCCGATCGATGCTTTCAAATCTAATTAATAATCACTCACCAACAATTTCAAATGCACTGATTCGTTATAATTCAATAAATGTACCTATTCGTTTAATTATCATCGAAGAGTCGCTCCAACGATTCGCAGGGAATGCAACTAAGTTTCGTCGTGGGTTGAATGATGAAATTATTATTCGTAATAATGCAATATCAAAATTCAATGAATCCGACGAATTTCCCAGAAAGCGTTAAGCTTGTTCACGAGTTAATTCATAATAGAACTTACAAATTACGATTAATTATGACAGAGTGTCTATAGAAATTTTTATTCGTTCCAACATAGGGGATGATTGACCAGTTTCAACATGGTTATTAATGAAATGCCTTCAATTGAAATTATATTCCGAGTCGCATGTGGATTGCAGTAACAAATGTGGCGCATCGGTTAGAGTTAGCTACCTATTGATAGACCACTAGGATAATACGTTGTTTACATGGTTTGTCGATAATTATAATTATATCGTAATAAGTATATAATAATCATATAATAGTTATATAATGATTATATAATAATTATATAATAATTATACAATAGTTACATAATGATTATATAATAGTTATATAATAATTATATAATAATCAAATCGTATGATAATAATTATTAAACGACAAGATAACCATTATTGAGCTCACCCACGGAATCCCGTATACATTACAAGATCGCTTGTCATCGAGTTACACAAATGAATCGCAATTACAAAAGTGCACCACTGACAACGCTACCCGAAAAACTTAGCTACGTTAACAGGCCATCTGAAGAAAGGTTTCTAGAAAGTCACTATACCTGTTCGATCAACGAATGAGAATAAAT